AAACCCCCGGAGCGTTGCCCCGCCGAAACAAACAAAAAAAACCCCTCGAGCGCCGCCCCGCCGAACAAAAACAAAAAACAAAAAACAAAAACACCACGAGCACCCCCCGCCACCCCAACATTGGCTGCCCCTTCTAAGGTGCCGCCCCAAGCACGTGCTTGGTCGGCTGGTGCCTGGAGCCAGCCCTGCCCCCAAGCCAAGCTGCCTAACCAGGCCAGCATCTGTGCTTTGCTTACACTTTAAAGGAATTATAACATACCGCACAGCTCTTTATAAGCAAGCACACTTATTCTTAAGGTGAAAGCATTACAGAGAAAACATATTCAAAACAATAAAAGAACCTACCCTCATGATAATAAGCTTACCAGAGGTCACCCCAACTCCTTTTTTGGAGTTCTGGTCGGTGTCAGTCCTTCCAACCCTTCCCAGGAAGGATTGTCCCCCCCCCCCCCGGACAGAAGGTTCTATCCATTTGCTATATCAGAAAGAAGGCCCAGAGTCAGTTTAACCTCAGGCTATTTATCCAAAAGCCCTTTCTTAGTCTGTTGGTTTCCAGAGAATCCAGTTTAAACCAGTGTATATGAGCCTTTGCAGGTACCTCTTGGGTTCAAACCTGAGTGAATTTGCCTAATCAACTCCTGCCCCGCCGGTTCTTGGTTTCTGGAGGGCTGTGTTTACCCTCCCCTGTGGAATTAAATACAATGATACATAGACTTAATACAGTAAGAACTCCCAAAAATATTGGAGGAAATTGCCATGTCTATCACACTGGTACTTTACAGTACAGTCTTTTAATGGCTAGATGGCACTATTGCCAGAGAATAAAATCAGGTGTATTATAAAACAGCAACTGAACTCACAGATTTTGCTCAAAGAAGATAATAATAACTTGCAAGTGCTGTAAGAAGTATTAACATTCTACTTTCTATCACAATATATTGATAAAATTTGTGGTACCGATTTTCTTTAATGGAATGTGCCATGTAAGTTGACTCCTTTGTCTAATAATTCAGTAGTATCTTGACAAAATACATTCTTGCTTCTCATAGGTGCAAATATGAGCCCAAAGCTCATTGCATGCTGTAGAGAGGAGCAAAATCATGGTAAATCCATGCAAAGTAGAGGGGAGGAGGCACACAGATGAGAAAGATGACTAGATGGCATTCTGACCCCACAACGTATTGTACGTGAGGAATTGGGGCAATGCAGACAAGAGTGTGAAGTGTTGGGGAATAGACCACGGCAGTTATGCTGGCCACAGGCTTAGCAACTGCTGCTGCCCAGAGAAGCAGTAACTTCCCCAGGTGCTGAATGATCCCCATTGCCAGGGGTCACATGAGGAGGCATCCAGTGGCATAATGGCAGTTGGGCAAGTCATGGAGTTGGTGCTGGAGAGCTGAAAGAGCCACAGAGTCTGTACCATTACTCAGATGGACACGATTTCTGGGTATTACTGGCTAATCCTGCAGATTCTTGACCTTTCTGCATTCTACAAGCCACACGTCTAACAACCAGGAGCGCCAACTCACACAGGGGAGCATGAAGTGGATTTTAAGAGTAAGAGACAATACCGATTTCCTTTTAATGTAGGAAGAGGATGAAATCCTAGAATATTGGAATCTAGAGAAAGATTGGTATCAGTTGAGATTAGCTTTAAATGGTTTAAGCAATGGGACTTCCACCACTTCCCTTGAAAGTCTGTTTTGCAGCCTAAAAGATCTCACTGTCAAGACATTTTTCTTGATTTTTCAGGTTAAGTTTTCCTTCTTCTAATTTCATCCCATTAATCCTATTCCCTTGTACTATCTTAAATAGATTATTTCTTTTATTGGTGTTTACACCCTTCAAATGTTCATAGGGCTTATCATATCCTTCTCCCTTAGACATCATTTAGACAAGGCATCCATATCTGACTATTTTAATCTTTCTTCATAAATCAGTCCCTCCAGCTCCCTAAACATATTTCTTGCATTTCTCTGAACTCCTTCCAGTTTGGCAATATCTTATTGCTAGCATGGTGCACAGAACTGAACACAATGTTCCAGGTGTAGTCAGATGAGGGATATGTAGAGAGGGACTATTTTCTCCCTGTTCAGTGAGTTGATATCTCTGGGGTGCAGCCGAGATTTTTAGAATTGGCCAAGGTTTTTAGAATTGGTTATACTTCTAAATCCATATTTCAACCCTTAAATAAGTGGCCTGGATTTTGAAAAGTACTGAACACCCAGCAATTCTCATTGAGGTCACTGTGAGCTGCTGGGATGTATTGCGCTAGTAAAAGAGGTCATTTATTTAAATGTCAAAATAAGGGCTTACAAGTCCAAAATTTCAAATGTGACTGTTGACTTTGGGTGCCTCCACTTTTTAGATACCCACCTTGAGACACACTTGATTTTTGACGGTGCTCAACATGTTTTGATAAGTGGGACCCTTAAAAAGGTGTCAGGTTAGGAACCCAAAAATTGAGTCACCCAAAATCACTAGCCACTTTTGAAAACCAGATGTTTTGGATATATTCAATTTTCCTTTATATTCCCTTACCTGCTCTTTATCAATAGCTGTTTTTAAAGGTCTTCCTCACTTTCTCACCATCTCTTGAGATTTTATTCTCTTGTTTTTCTTGACTCCTGAACTCAAGTGATTTATGTGAGAATCTCAGCTTTTTTTGTAAAATAAAATAAAATCTCTTGACCTCATGGTTGTGCAGAAAAAGCTTTAAAATGTGAACTAAACGGCAAATAAAAAGAACCCCAACTTTATTATATTTTTGAAATCTCATGATTTTTAAGCCAATCGTATGATTTGGGGGTCGGGGGATACTACTCCTGACTTATTAATGTTTGGGCTGGGTCATACTGCATTCTAATTGTCCAAAAGTCTTTTTGTTTGACAGATTTAAAAAAGAAGTTGTGTCTCAGTCATTTTTGAATTTTCATTCACTGCCTCCTATATGAGTTAGTTTTCTCTCTTTTCCTTGATATTGTTATAAAAGCTTTCCTTATTTCCCTTAACTGTTTTGGCTAGTATTAACTCATTCTACTGTTTTGCTTCCTTAGTATTTTTTCCCTAGTGAAGTAGTTTGACGTGGTGTCCTTCATGCCTTTTCAAAGTGTAGTAGCGTAGAACTTTTTATGTCCTGTATAACTGCTGAGTGGTAAATGCCAAAAGAAAATGAAATGCATCTGTGCTTTCCCAGAAACACTTTTTAAAGTTGCCTTCTGGCTAAAAGGTGGACTCAGATATTTATGTTCTCTATACTTGGGGCCTGCTTCTCCTTGAGTTTGCTATGGTCCTGTCCTCTCAGCACACCCATGCAAGAGACACCCTTAATTTGACTGCTTGAGAAGTGAAGCTGTGTGTGTGTATACACTCCTCCTGCAGTGTTAAAAGCACTGGTGGGACATTTCTAACCAGAGTGGGCACAGGATGATGCCTCTTCCAATTCCTGCACCCGAGCAGGCACCACCAGAAAAGTGATGCTTACACCTATTGTAGAAGTACAGCAAATTCCACGCTTTCCTTACCATCTCAGGAAGCGCTTTTGCCTTTGAAGGGCATAATGCCTCCCAGTAATTTCTTGTCAGAAAAGTATTCTTCTCAGGATCACAGTGCCTTAAAAAAAAAAAAAAAAGGCTTATTTGAGCTTCTCATTTACCTTCATATAAATCTCCATATAAGCTCTTGACTTTGATGGAGTTACACTTGATTTATACCAGCATAAAAAAAGGACAGAATCTGGCCCCATTGTGTAGCACAGATGTTAAGACTAATGAGAACAGCAGCTGATTTTGAATTCACAGTTAATTCAATTGCATATTTTTGCTTTAACTTAACCATTGTGATCTTATTTTTTTAATAACCATTTTTGAGGGGTGGAAATTACATGTTTCATGTAAATCAATTTTAAAAATTCTTTTCATATGAAAACATTTTATTTTTCATTTTAAGAGCAGGGAATTGGGTTTATTTGAGGGCAATAATGCGCCATTATTTTTCACTGATAGGTATCAGGTGGAGGGAGCTACCTTTTGCACCCAGTTGAAAAGTCATCTGAGCCCTCTATAAATAGGGCTTGCCTTCATTATTTCTCTGATCTTTGAACCAGATGCCATGAGAGAGTCTGGGATGCCTGGAATACAGCAAGGGGTGAAATTCTGACCCCAATGAAGTCAATGGCAAAATTCCTATTGACTTCAATGGAGCCAGAATTTCACCTAAAAATGTTTAATCTTCCAACTGGGCTAAATCCCCAGCTGGTATAAATCAGCAAAGCTCAGTTGAAGTCAATGGAGCGAAGAGATTTACCCCAGCTGCGGTTCTGGAACAATATGAAGAGCATATAGCAACACAGGATGTAAACAAATGTGTCATAAATAGAAAGTAGAAGATGCTTCTGAATACTTTACAGTGTGATTGTGAATAGTCAGATGGTTATTTTAACACTGAGAAGGTTCAGTTGTATAACAGCCATGTTGGATGAAGGAAACCTTACAGGAGACATCTGAAGTAACTGGTGATAAACACTCTTTCTTATTATGGTTTCTCACCTAAATCATCACTCTTCTGCACCCTTACAAGAAACAAGGTTGTGGGGTTTGTTTTTGTTTTGTTTTTTAATAAAAGTACTTACTTCTAAAATTGTTTTGGGTTAACTTTAAAGCTTTCTATTAAGACTTTGAAATTCAGTAGAAGCTGGTTGAAATTTTTCACATTTCAGATTTTGAAATTCAGGCGGGATATGCAACAAAATTTGAGAGAAATTCTCCCTTCCCCTCCTCCCATTTTTCTACCCATTTTAGAGATGGTTGAAAATTTTTGAATTTCAAAATTATGTTGAAATTTTCAAACTCAAAAATATAAATGGGGAGAAGGAGAAATCAATAATATTTTTAATTGAGCTTTTTCCTTTTCTTTTTTCCCAGTTCTAAAATTCACCTTTTCCCAGTTCTAAAATTCATCAGTTCTCTAATGCTTGTCTTGACCTTTGTGTTTTGCAACAGGATGAAAAGGAGAAGTTAACCTGGAGAGACCGTATGCCTGGCTATCTAGTGAACGTTGCATCCATTTTATTTATGGTAATTTTATTTGTATTTTCTTTCACATTCCTCTGGGCTATAAAGATCTGTGAACAACATGCTCCTTAAAGCTGAATTAATGCTTTCAAAGACGGAAATGTTTAATTTTAAATGGCTAAGAGCTTCCTAGGCTACAGCACACCATCGTTTTTTAGACAGAACTGACTGATTTCAGTGGGGACTTCTGCTTAAAAATTGATGACACAATATGTTCCATTCTACACAAATAACTAAAAAGTATCTGTTTTAACCTGTCAAGCTCTTGACTTATATTCAAGTTGGGATCACATACAGTAACTCCTCACTTAACGTTATAGTTCTGTTCCTGAAAAATGCGACTTTGAGTGAAACGATGTTAAGCGAATCCAATTTCCCCATAAGAATGAATGTAAACGGGTGGGATTAGGTTCCAGGGAATTTTTTTTTTTTTGCCATGCAGTACAGTACAGTACTATAGTTGGGAGGTGCCCCTGCCTTACCCCACACAGGCACAGCCCACTGGTACTGGAGATAATGAGGCAGGCAAGGAGGCTGAAGGTGCTGTGGGCTAGGAGAAGCACGTTGCACAGCAGCAGCAGCAGTTTCCCCTACTCTGCAAGCACCAGGGGCAGGGGGCTCAACTCTCAGCCCGCCCACACCACCCCTTCCCCCAAGCCCCCACCCTTAACCCGCCTCTTCTTTCCCCCCCCTTTACTCAGCACGCGGTGTCCTCACTCCTCCCCCCTCCCTTCCCTGCCTCCTGCCTGCGGCAATCAGCTGGTTTGCGGCATTCAGGAGGGAGGGGGAGCCTGCGCACTGAGTCCTCGCTTCTCCCCCTCCCTCTTGAACGCCGCAGCTGATTGTCACGGGCAGGAGACAGGGGGAGGAGTGGAAGGCGCTGATCCGTGGGGTCTGCTGGAGGGCGGGAGGTGCTGGGGGGAGGGAGGGGCGTAGGGGAGCTGATGCGGGGGGTACCAGCTTGGACAAAGCAGGTAGCCAAACGAGGTTATAGCGAAGCATTGCATAACTTTAAATGGAGCATGTTCTGTAATTGAGCAGGAACGTAAGATCAAAAAAACATTAAGCGAGAGGACGTTAAGTGGGGAGTTACTGTAATTGTCAACATATGCTGTTTTTAATTCAGGAGTTAACCAACCCAACAAGAGAAATTTCAGCTCAAATAGAAAAAAAATTGAGTGAAAAAGTAAATAAAAAAAAATTAGAACTGACTGACTTTCTCAAATGTAACTACAACAATACTACTAGCAATGCTGTAATATTTCTCAGTGTGGCTACAGAATAAGGCCCTGGTTTAGCAGAGCATCCTCTTTAGGATGGGTGCTTAAACATGCACTTAATTTTAACCCTGTGTTACAATCCCATTTAAGCATGTTCTTAAAGTTAAGATTGTGATCGTTTTCTTGAATCAGGGCCTAAATGTTGTCTCCCACACTTCGTTTAATATCCTAGACAGATTTATAAAGGTAAAATGTAAAGCACCAGATCCTCAGCTGTTGCAAACCAGCAAAGCTTCACTGATTTCAGTGGAGCTGGTCCAGAGAGTTTTTCTAGAATATTGTGAATATCATTAGGCAATGAATATATACAGGGCAGCTAGTTGAAAACAATTCTCCTGTATAAGAGTCAGATCCCATCTGCCATGTGCAGATTACAATCTGTGCTTTACTGAATGCAGTCCTTTTCCTACTAGATTAGTTAAACAGTGATTGGGGACACTGGGCCGAATTCTGCAGTCAGTTTCTGCAGTTGTTCTGGTGCATATGAGATTGCACTCATGTAACTAATTTTGGCTGGTCTTCCTCCTTTATCACTACCCACACATAAACTAAATGTTTTTGTTTTTTTTTTTTTAGTATGATCACTATTTAGATACAGTGGGCTAGAGTCTCAGGCATGCAAATGCAACATGCATACACATAAGCCGCATTTTCCAGTGCTGCAGAAGTGATTCTGGAATTTCTGCCACCACCTTTTCCAGGCCTACACTATCTGGCAGGCACAAACCCATAGGAATTTTTCGTAAAAATGTCTACATTGTTATAGAATGATGATGTCAGATGCTTTCCCTGACCTCCCCCCACTTACCCTCACTGCATATTTCATATTTCCCTGAGATTTCTTAAGGCTGCTGACAATTTCCTCTTGGTAGAACCTTGCTCTTTATTTTCTATTCTGTGTGCTTCTTAAATATGAAGCCCTTGCAAGCAGAAGCATTCTACTACTTTTTTCTCTATCGAGCTCCTGCTCTCTCTTCCTTTACTTATCCAAGTATATTATTTGGGGGCTTTTTTTAAATGTAGGTTTTACAAAATCAATTTTTACTTTCATGCCCAATTAGACTCTGCACCAGTCTTATTTTACATCAGTAATAATTATAATCATTATGAGATATATTTCTAAGTGCTTTAAAGTCTGTATACACAACCACTGTTCTGCATGAAGACCTCTTGCTATGCAGTCAAAAGGCAGTTTGTATGCTTACTGGGAACAGGATATGACCCAGGCTTGAGCTATTGAAAATTTCCTTCTGAAGTGGTGTTCTACAGAGTACACATCACCGCAAAGATTTCTGCATTAACCATGAAAATCTTTGCAGTTGCCTCAAGGGAGCAGGATGGGGCTGGACATCAGCATCACCACGACCCTCCTTTATAGTCCCTGATTCATCTCTGCTGCTGTTCTCACCTTCAGCAATCCTCTCTGCTTTCCTACAGTGGATTTGACACATACAGGAGAAGAAAGTCAACTAGTATCACGGCACAGGGGTTCAGCCTGTTCTTCCTTAAAGGCCAGATTCTCATATGCTTACTCATACTGAATAGTCCCTTACTCCGGGAATTGTCTCACTGAAGTCTAGGGAGCTATTTGTGGAGTAAAGTGCTACCCAGCTTGAGTAAAGGTATCAGAATCTAGCCCATAACTGTCACTCAAGCCCCTCCATCTCCCACCCCATCAGTGTCCTCTGTCCCCCTCAGCCACCCTCCTGTCTTCCCCCCACATTCTTCTGCCCCTTCAGCTCCCTCATGCCCCCCCACATCTCCCTGCACCCCCTAAATCTGCCTCCTGCTCCCCACATTCTCCCCACCCTCCTTTCACAGTGTCTCTGCTACTCCTCACAGTCCCTGTACCCTGTCCAGCCCCTTGAACCATAGAATGGCAGACATCTTGCCAGTGCACAGGGCTTCAGTGTCATAGAAAAGTGGCAGTCCACTTTTTTCAGGGCAGCCTCATTTCCACGTGAAGATAGAGAAAGAGCAGCCATCTTGCTGACTTCAGCCCCATTGGCAGTAATGGGAGATGGTGGCCATTTTAAACAGGAGAAAATTCATGAGCTAGCACCTCTCATCACGTTTCCATGTGAATGGTAAAAAATCATACCAAAATCGCTAGAGTACCTCACCTTCAGCACCCACTGTACTCTACACAGGGTCCCTAGAAAGCACTAGATCAGATTTAAGGTGTCTGGATTAATCTTAAAGGCATTCCATAGAAATGGCTGTAGATACTTCAGAGAGCTCTTCTCTCCTCACTATAAGACCTTCTCTGTCAACTGTGTCCCGCGGGTGCTATGAAGCTATGTCATCCTTAAGAGTGAAGCTTGTGACAGCAGGCGACAGGGATGTTTCAGCAACTGGAAACTCATTGGCTTAGCGTTCCATTCAATACACTAAAATATCAAGGAAAAAGAGAGGAGGAGAAAAAAGAGAGAAAAATGAGAGAGTAAAGGGGTAGTGGAAGAGGGAGTGAAGAAGGAAATAATTTACTAAAACTTAAAAAAAAAAATCCCCAACTGCCTTTGGAGAAAGTAAACAGGAAAATTAGACCACTGACCAACTGTGATTGTGATTTTTGTCTCTTATTACTTGGGAGGTGCTCACATATTTGTGGTGATTGGTATCACAATGGGCACCTACATGGACAGGTTAGGCAGAAGCAGGCCCACCAATAGCAATTCCGGGCCCCAGGCTAGAACAGCCAAGACGTGCCTGCGTGGACATGGTCCGCCTAACATTTGGGCAGTGCTGTGCCTATGCTGGCTGGTGCCCAGCGAGCTGCCAGCTGCGCTGCTAGGCGCGCTCTTCCAGCACGGCCAGGGCTTCCACATGCCTGCTTGGTACAGTTGCCAACTGTCTAACTGCACAAACCCAAAGACCCTTGCCCCACCCTGCTCCTTCCCTGAGGCCATGCCCCTGTCCTGCCCCTTCTCCAAGACCCTGCCCCCTGCTCACTCCATCCCTCCTCCCTCTGTCGCTCACTCTCCCCAACCCTCACTCACTTTCAGCAGTGGGTGCAGGCTCTGGGAGGGAGTTTGGGTGCAGGAGGGGATGCGGGGTGCGGGCTCTGGGAGGGAGTTTGGGTGTGGGGCTCTAGGCTGGGGCATGGTGTTGGGGTGAAGGATGGAGTCAGGGGGTCGGAGCTTACCTAGGACAGCTCCCGAAAGCGACTGGCACACCCCTCTGGCAGCAGCTCCTTGGCAGGGAGGGCCAGAGGATCTCTGCACACTGCTGCCCACAGACACTGCCCCCGCAGCTCCCATTGGCTGCAGTTCCCGGTCAATGGGAGCTCCGGAGTCAGCGCTCGGGGTGGGGGCAGCGTGAGGAGACTCCAAGTCCTCCCTGGGACTGTAGGGCCATCCCGGCTGCTTCCGAGTGTGGTGCAGAGTGAGGGCAGGCAGGAAGCCTTATCTCTGCTGCACTGGCGGCAGCTGGGCCCCCTGGGCCCTTTTAAACCATCTGGGCCCCTGGGCAATTGCCCCTTTTGCCCCACCCATCACCGGGCCTGGGTAGAAGCTCTGCTATTCATGCTCCTGCACCACCACCCATGAATTTAACTGTAGCTCCTTGAAAATTGTGCGGGGGAGTGCGGGGGGTGATGTGTGGGATTCATTCTGTTGCTGCTGATCCTGACCCCTTTTTAAAAAAAATGATTTTGGCCTTTATTAATTATGAAAAGATTAGATTAAAAATAGTCAGCAGACTGAGGTGCTAAACTTCATTAGG